CTCTTTTCTCCTCTTTCCTCCTTCTCTTTCCTTCCCCTTCCCCTCCTTCCCCATCCTTCTTCCTTTTTCCTCCTCCTCTCCTCCTCTTCCTCCTTCTCTACCCTCTCCTCTTCCTTCCTTCTTCCTCCTCCCTCTCCTGCCTCCCCCTCTTTCCTTCTCCCCCTCCTCCTTCCTCCTCCTCTTCCTCTCCTCTTTATCCCTCCTCCTGTTCCTCTCTCCAAACCTCTCCTCCCTTCTAGCACTGATGGTGTTCCCTGGTTGGGTCACGAAACGTCTACAGGGAAACCACCCAGCTCAGAGAGGACCCCACCGTCTTCCTCACATCCCCTTGGAGACATAACAGGCCTCGGCCTGCGGGGCATTCGGTCTCTGGGTCATTCTCATCCCCACACCCTCCTCTCCCTCCCACGTCACCTCCCCCTCCCCTCTGTCTCTCCCCCCCCTCCCCCCCGCAGCACTGTGCCTGGGCCTGTGAACCAGGCTGCTACTGCACTGGGGGCAAAGTCTTGCACAGCAACGGCTCGGCCTGCGTGGAGAAACCCGGCTGCACCTGCCTAGACCTGAGCACCGGACGGCGGCACCCGCCGGGAGAAGTCGTGCCCCGTGCCGATGGGTGCAACAATTGGTAAGCCAGCCAGGACGAGATGGCCCAGCTGGGATGGAGTGACTTTCCTTTCCGATTCCAACAGGGCGTCTCATCCGCTCCCTCTTTTCCTTCCCCACAGTACCTGCTCCGATGGAAAGCTGGTTTGCACCAACCAGGCCTGCCCAGGTGAATCCCCCAAACTGTCTCGGGGGGGGGGGGCATGAGGGCTGGATGGGGCAGAACGTAGCTGGGAGGCAGAGTCCCTGCACTGAGGGGAACAGTTGATGGGGCAGGGCGGGACGGGGCAGTTTCACATCCTATCTGGATAACATCATCAAGGCTGGAAGGGAGTGAAGATTGCAGAGAGGAGGAGGAGGAAGGAGGAGGAGGAGGAGGAAAAGGAAGGAGGGGGAGGAGGAAAGAGGAGGAGGGGGAGGGGGAAAAAGG